TCGAAACTAGAGAAGAAAAATTGAGGGTCCCGCCGATCTGTGCCCCATTAATGTTTGTTGATCCATTTTCTAGCCCAAGCTTTTCTTCTAGTCGGCTTCCCAGACCAAGGGAAAAAAACTTTTTCTGTCCGCAGGTGCAAAAGGAAGGAATGTAGCCTGAGTGCAGCTTTATTTTTCAATTTAGTCGGCCAGGCTGTCCCCCACTGCCCCTTGGCTTTAGCTGATCCAACCAGGAAGCTTCCAGTAAACTACTACCCTGGGACTGAGTAGAATGGGATATGAGGTGGGGTGGGGTGGACAGTGGATATAGACAAGTCCCTGAGCTGGAGTGTCTACTACACCCTAACCATACTAACCTGGGATTCAGAGATGTTAATGGTTTTAAGATGTTTAAACCAGTTCTAAGTGATAAGATGAAAGGAGCCCAAACGATATAACAACGGGGGAGCACTTTATAGGAGTCTCTTCCAGCAAGTTGTGATATCTTAAGCCCTACCTCAAAAGATGAAAGTTGATGGAGGAAGGGAAAGGCATTTATTTAGCCAGAAAAATTAAGGTATGTGTTTGGAAATATAATGAGCTATAAAACTTACAGAAACTAAATTCAAGTTAGAGATAGTTGTTAGGGCTGAAGAAGTACCAGACCATATAAGGCCAGAGGTAGTGTGCTAAGAAACTTAATGATGCAAGCTCATAGGATTTTTAATCTGGAAATACAGAAACAGTCAAGTTTGCACTTTGAGATTTAGTATTGTCTCTACTGTGAAAGAATGAGTAAAGGAGAAAGGAAAATAGTTGTTGCTAGGTAACTTGTAATCCAGGTCAAAGAAATGAATCTGAACCTGCTGTTGACAGAGTGATGGCAAAAGGGTATGAATTAGATACTTAGGGTGAAACTGGGCTTGCTGAGAAATTGAAAGGGGAGCAAGTTTCTGGATTGAGTAATTGGTGAAATGTAATACCATTACCTAATTTTTTCTTCTCCCTGTTGCCTTTTCAATAGTCTTAATACAAGTTTTATTTTAAAATAGTCCAACTTTTATAATCAGTGCTTATTCGTGTCAGGCTTTGCCTGCCCCAACTCTATGAGAATAATTCCTCCTGGATGCTTCATTATTTCACATTTATTATCTCAATTTTTTGCTAAAGGTAAAAGATGTATTTTCTCCCCCATAACCACATTATTTGGTCATGGGTATCCAAATGATCCAGCCCTATATATTGAAAAGATTTTCATTTTCCCAGTAAGTTCTGTGGCACTTTTGTTGTCAGATGCAATGTTTAAGGCACTATCTTGGAATCAGAATTGCCAGACCAGCTTCTCGTTAATAAATTTACCAGCCTCCAAAGCTGTGAACAAGTAAATTTATGTTCACTGTTAAGTTACCTATCTTAGGTAACTTGGCACTTAGCAGTGACACCCTATATATTTATTGCTATTTATGTAGTGAAAACTAGAATACTAAGCTAGTTTTAAAGGTTTTATTAAATTATGTTAATGTGTGGCTTTTTAAATAATTTAGCAAAATATTAATAGACAAGAGACAATGAGAGTTATTGCCGGATATAGGGGCTTGAGTTACAGGTTTTCTTACAGTTTTATGTTTTCCAAGTGTAGCAATTAATTGATCGAGTGGCTAATTAGAAAACGTTTAAAAGTGTGTCTCATATTGCTGAGCATATGTTCTTCTTCCCTAATTTAAGGAACTTGGTTGTTACAGTTTGAATGTCCTAAAACTTATATTGCAATTGAATTGCTATTTTTATTGGTCAGCTTTGTGTTGCTGGGATAAAAATACCTGCTACCCACAACTTAAGTTTTATTTGGCTCATGGTTTCAGAGCTTTCAGTCTATGTTTAGCTGGCCCCAAAGCACAAACAGCATGGCATAGGGCATGGGAAAGGACAGTTGCTCCAACATGGCTAGCGGGAAGCAGAAAGGGAGCAAAAAAGGCAGAGAGGAAAAGGCAGGGGACAGCAATATACCCTTGCAGGTGTCACGCACACACGTGACCCACCTCTTCCAACCAGGCCCTACATCCTCATAGCACATTCAGTTTGCAGCTGTTTAGTGGATTAATCTACTGATAAGTGCTTCCTCAATCCAATCACTTTCCAAAAGTCTCCCTCTGAACACACGAGCCTTTTGTATTGGAGGGCAATCAATCCTACTGCTTAGGAAGGAGAACAGCAAGGGCTAAAGAGAAAAAAAGACAATATAGATTTTCATAATTTTGAAATATATGGGTAGCCGGGAGGTCAGTGCCTCACAGCCGGCAGACAAAGACTCTCCAAACTAGCCATCATGTTTTTATTGGGTACACACAATAACTAGGGGGTACATCATGTGATTTAGGGGGTGGAGGATCATAGGCTGAAGAAGATCTTAGTCACAAGGTTATTATGTTGAGGACTATAAGGAGAGCATTCTTACAATGTGAGGAGTTAAGCTGATAAAGAAAAAAAATTTTAAATTACTACTCCGTTCTACAGGGATGTCTTCAGCTGATGCAGTCTTGCCCTTGAGCACGACAGCATAAGTGGATCACTGAAGCCTCAGCTGTGACTGGAGGCAAAAAAAATGGAGTTGTTTCTGCATGTCATAGTCACCTCTCTCGGACAAGGTGACACTGAGTCTTATATAGTCATACTTATGGAACGTTTTCTCCCTAAAATTTATGTGGAATGGCTTTTAACACCTTTTGGGGACTTTTAGGGCTTGTATCTAGATATCCCCCCAAAACCTTATGTGGTCACAGGTGGGGCTTTTCAGGGATGGCTCCATCTGGGTATGTGATGCTAGGATTAAAGCTCCTGCACCCCGGATGCGAGTGCTACCCACCCTACAGGTAGGTAGCATGGATACGATACAAAGGACAGAAAGGGTCATCGCTTGTCTCCTTCTGCCTGTAATGAATTGTTTCTCTTCAATGCCCCTCTGCTATGCTGCCAGCTAACTGAACTGAAAACTCTACACGCTGTGAGCCAAATGACGTTCCTCTTTTAACTTTGACTATTGAGTATTCTGTCTCAGCAACAAGAAAAGTAAGATGGACAGAGTGAAACCGTAACACTATTGTAACTGTTAAGAGCTGGGACCTTTTAAGAGGTGATTAGATAATGAGGGCTCTCTACTCCTGAGTGGATTACTGCCATTAGGAGATTTGTTGTAGAAGTAACCCTCACTTGCTCCTTCTGCTTTCTGCAGGATAACACAGCAAAAATACTCAAAAAAAGATATGCCAGTGCTATAATTGGGCCTCCCATTCTCTAGAACTAATTTCTTTATAAGTTCCATAGTCTTTGGTATTGTTACAGAAGCGGAAAATGGACTAAGTCATTGGTAATCCATTTTGTACTATCTAGAAACTGCCATGTGGAATTGTAAAAAGGAAAAAGCAAGAGGATGACATCCTCCCAAACTGACTAATGGAGTTTAAGTATATGTGCTGCTGAAGTGAACACTGGAGTCTGTTGTAGAACACTGTAAAAATTAGCAAATTCTCTTCACACTTGTTCTTTAAGAAATGTTTGCCTAGCACAAGGTCCTGAGTTGAATTCCCAGTACTCCCCCTAAAAAAGAGATGTTTGCCTGAAAGAAGAATTTTTACATGATTTATTTAATAATAAACCAATTAAAGATACAAAAACATTTAGAGAATTCCAAAATTTAAATTTTTGTTTAAATACAAATTCACTTTGTAATATGAAAACATATAACATTAGATCTCTAAACATAATGATTTTTTTCATTTACAAAAATTTTTCTTTGCTATACTAGAAAATTTGCAGAAAAGAATTTTTCTTGTGACATTATTCAATGTACATTATTTACAGTTGAAAAACTAAAAACTATTTCATTTCAGAAAGTCAGATATGTTATCGTATGCAATTTCCCTCCCCCCTCCCCCTCAATAAAAAAATGATCCAAAATATAAAGCAATTATGCTCTTATAACTGACTACTCAACCATTTTAGTCCAAGACTCAAGTTGCTTTCTTGGCCCTTAAGAGCCTGGACTCTTAGGTTATTGAGTTATTAGTTATTGGTGTATGCTAAGTTTACTAATGAACCATAATACACAGTGGTCTAAAGAGTTAAGAATTTAGGAAGAATTTATGGCATCTTTCTGAAAGAATGAAGTTTGTGGGGGGAGTCACTTATTTTTCTTTAATATTCTAGCTATATTTACACTAGGAAACAGCCTGATAGTTTTAATTTTCATAATTTAAAAACATAGGTGTTAGAATCTGAAAATTCAGAACTAGATGGGAAATTGGTAATCATTTAATCCAATGCATTCTTTCCTCTTTTGAGAAGGCAAGCCCCCCCAAATCAGGTGGCTTGTCCAAGGTTACACAGCTAGTTAGTAGGAGAACCAATTTTAAGCTCCTGCTTTCATAATTATCCTGCTTCTGAAACAAGTCAGCCATATCATGGGCATACTGCAGTTTTTAATGTTATTTTATATATTTATTTTGTTATAGAGAGCAGCCAAATAAATTCAATCTGACATAATTTTAACAACATAATAAAGTTTCTTGCATTTGATAGAGTCAAGACTTAAACAAGTGGAATGAAATACTTCTATATAAAACTCCTGTTGCCTTATATTTATGGTATTTACAAAAGAATGAGAAAAGCTAATACAATGTAAAATTAGAAAAGAAACTTTAAAAATTCTTATGATATAGCAACTGGAGAAAATTTCAAAAGAATATTCATAGTATAAAACGCCAGTTCCTTCACAATTGAATTCTGAAATATTTTGAATATAAAGAGAAAACTTGGGTTTTCCTCTCTCATCTAACAAAGCCAAAATTAATTCAATTTTTTACAATTACAAGATTAGGAACCTCTGTGACTTTATGTTAGACAGTTTGAAGACAAATGAAAATTAGTCAAATTAAAAAAGAAAAATTCCCTGGGCTGGGGATTTCGCTCAGTGATTCCACCGCCTGCCTTGCAAGCGCAAGGACCCGAGTTCAATCCCCAGTACCAAAAAAAAAAAAAAAAAAACCTAATTCCTTTGGTATTACTTAAAAAGAGTTAGGCTCCAGCAGTTCATTTTGCTTCACAGCTACCTGAGAGGTAAATCCATTGGAACTAGACACCACCATCACATAAGGCTGTGGCTGTTGCTCGGTTTTCTCAATGTCTTCTTTCAAATGATCTTCAACCTCCTTTTTCTCAGCTTCCTGTGTAAGAGTTTTTGTTTCTTGTGCTTTGATAACTGAAGTGATTACAGTGCCAGGTGGGTGAGCAACCAGTTGTGAACTTCGAGGAGAAAAAGTCACCACAGGAGTAGTAGCACTAAAGGATGGGGAGGAAGTCATGCTGACGGTTCCATTACAGATGGACTGAACATTGGTAGTAAGGACCTGCTGTACCTGGGTAGGGCTAAAGACAATTGAAGGAGAGCCTGGCTTCTGTGACTGTAGCATGACATTTTCTTTCAGTACTGTCATGGGCTGTGATGATGGAATGGCTTGTAAAATAAATTTCTGAGATCCAGAGCCTGCTGAGGGATCTGTGCTGGCTATAACTGTTGTAAGTGGCACTGTCTGGAGTGTTACTGTGTGCAACTGCTGACTCCCAGGAGACACGACCACTGGAACTTGGGCTGGAGCCTGTATAGTCCTATTGAGATTACCAAATAAAATGAGATAATTAGCATATTCTACATCATTTAAAACCTATTTGGCAAGTCATTCTGACAAAATTAAGTCTTAACATTTCAAAAGCTACTTCTATGCCCCCCCCACCCTGGTACCAGAGATTGAACTCAGGACCTTGCCTTTGCCAGGCAGCTGTGGCACCACTGAGTCCATCCCCAGCTACTTCACATATATATACACATATATATATGTTTGTGTGTGTGTGTATGTATGTATGTATATATATAAATTTTTTTTTTTTTTGGGGCCAGGGATGGAATTCAGGTGCACTGACGTTGAGCTCAATCCCCAGCCCTACTTCGCATATTTTTAACACAGCATAATAATCAGCATGGCAGACCTTGTATGAAACATTATATGTACATACTTGCCAAACACAAAACTCTCAGGTCAGCCAGTCATGGTGGTACCTGCCTGTAATCCCAGAACTGTGAGAGGCTAAGGTAGAATGGCAAGTTCAAGCCCAGCCTGGAAACTTATGAGTTAGCAGAACCCTTTTTCAAAAAGGACTGGGGATGTAGCTCAGTATGAAGACCATGGGTTCAAAAACAAAACAAAACAAAACCCCTCGGGCCATTAACTATGATGACATCTAATGACTGCTTTGAAAAGATGATCTATAGACACTGCCATAGTAATACAAGTAGGGAACTAGTTTTTGTGGGGAAGGACACCAAAATGCTTAGCGAAGGCCAGACATGAGTGCATGTGCCTGTAATTCTGCTACTCAGGAGGCAGAGGCAGGAGAACCACGCCTGTCATCCTAACAACTTAAAACAGAAACTGCCTCAAAATAAAGGGGTAGGAACACAATGCTGTACTCCCTGGGTTTAATCCCCAGTGTGTGTGTTTGTGTGTGTGTGTGTGTGTGTGTGTGTGTGTGTGTGTTTTGTTTTTTTTGGTGAACTCGGGTCCTTGCACTTGCGAGGCAGGCAGCAAAACCACTGACCTAAATCCCCAGCCCTAATCCCCAATATGAAAAGAAAAGGAGGAAGGAGAGAGGGACAAAGGAAGGAAAAGAAAAGAGGGAAGGAGGGAATAAAAAGTTTAGAAAGAAGTTATGCAAAATCTTGAAAGAAAATTAGGAATTTTAAATCTGTCACATAGGCTATCAACATGTTCAGAACAATTACCAAACTTCATATAGTTTGCTTCATTATATGAAATGTCATTCAACTTGTTTACTAACATACACAGAAAAAATGCTCAAGTAAAAACAAAAAACCCTGTTTTTAATGTATATATGACAGAATTCTTAGAAATATAATAGCTCAGGGCTGGGATTTAGCTCAGTGGTGCTGCCGCCTGCCTCACAAGTACAAGGTCCCAAGCTTGATTCCTGGTACCAAAAAAAAAGAACTTTAATAGCTCACATATTTGCACAAAACATCATAATTATAACTGAGAGTTCTTAGGCTGCCAGAGAGTAGTAAGCAAGGTAAAACTTTGGCAAAACTAAAATAGTAGTGTGTTTTAAGTTTCCTAGGCCAAAATAATTTTCACAAATTTCAGCCATAAAGCTACAATTTATTTATTTTTAAAGCTACAATTTAAGCCAGGCCTGATGGTGCACTCCTGTAATCCCAGCAGTCTGGGAGGCTGAGGTGGGAGGATCACAAATTCACACCTAGCCTTGGTATCTTAGTAAGTCCCTATCTCAGGGTGGGAGTGGGAGTATAGGGTTTCAATACCCAGTACCACCAAAAAACAAAAAAATTAACACGAATGATATAAAAAAATCCTTTAATATAAAATCTAGTTTTATTACTAATCTCATTTTTGAAGAAGATGGTACCTAAATGACCTGAGTCAGTCTTAATTTTAAAAGCTTATAGTTACAATCACTGTTCATATAAAACAGTTGGAAAAAACTCAGCATCTGGATCTCAGCTGTTTTCTCTGAATTCTGTATTTTATGAAAGACACTTGATTTTTACTTCAGATAACTACTAGATTAATTCCCACGTGTGTCCTGTCACATATTTAAGAAATCAAATCGTGGAGGGAAATATAAATGGGCTAGGTGGCAATAAGCAACAAAGACCTAGTGCAACTCAGAAGTTTAAAGGAAGTAGGAAGACACAAAGTGACTAGTGCCTACCCATTCACCCAGGATACCACTTCTAAGTTCAGACTGCCATCCCAATCACCACTCTAAGAAAGATATTAACAACTTTCCTGAAGGAAGATGCTAAAAGAGGACATGGGTTGGGGAAAAATATTTTAATACATGAACAGAGTATTGCTGAGAATGACGGCCAGATAATAGGGAGGGACAGGTGACCTGGGAGGAAAGAGAATCATTTTAGAAATCAGGGAGCATTTCCAGAACACACTGTGCTTCCCTTCCCCATCTGAACTGAGGTATGTTAGGTTGAATAAGAGTCTGAATATAATCCGTAACCCTACGTACAGGCAGATAACATTTTTTAATTAAGGTTCAAATGTTTCTAAGTTTCATGTAACCAACTGCTACAATATCAGTAATTTGCAATTCATCAAAAGTTCTGAGGCTAAGAGAAAGAAACAGTGTAACATTTAGCTTTGGCTGAAGATCTAATTCAGTATGTCAAGAAGTACCATTTAAGTGTCACAAACATATAAGATTTAAGTATTATGATGTTGATTTTATAGATGAGGAAATACACAATACTTTGATTAATTTTCACACTTAATTTGGAAAGCTTGAAGGATATGCCTACATTGTTTCTAATGCCATTACGTTGAACTTAAGCTATACATTATACATTTTAGAGGGTAACTTATTTTTAAGATCCTAAGACAAACTATGTTTCGATAAATATTACAGAAAAAAAAGTTAGGTTATATAGATACTTCCAAGTTTACAATGGGATAATTTTCAGAACATATTTTACCAGGTTTATTTTGTTGTTTCTTTGGTGAACATGAATCCAAAGTCAAATTTAAACTTATAAAAACTGAGCATGTATACCGAAAGTCCCTTAAGAAAATCTTAATTGATTCAACCAAGATACATGCTATTTATGAGATAAAATTAATGAAGAAAAAAACTTGAGTGTTGCTGCCTCACTTTAAATATCTGATAATTAATGTGATTTTGTAAATCGGTAGGTTGAATGACAACTAAGCTTACTGCTTTGGACCAAACTGCTCTTTTCATTAAAATATTACTTGTGCTATGTGCTACATGTGAGCAAGCTCCTTCACTCCTTGCTTCAGTTTCTTCCTCTGTAAAATAAGGACATTACCTATACCTCACTGAATTGTAAAGTTCTATAAATCTCTATATACAAAGTATATGAAATACAAAAAATACTGACAACTCTTGTTGCTATAATAATTTAATAATTTACTCTAGGAAGCTGAGGCAAGAGGCTCATAAGGTGGAGTCTGGTCTAGGAAAATTAGGGACACCTGACTGAAAAAAAAAATTTTTTTTTTAAAAAGATGAAGGATTTAGCTCAGTGGTTCTGCCGCCTGCCTCGTAAGCTCAAACTCCCTAGTTTGATCCCTCCCCAAAAAAAAAAAAAAAAAAAAAAAAAAAAGAATGATTTTAAGAAAACGTGTATGCTGGACATGGTGGTTAAGCCTGTAATCCCAGCATTTAAGAAGCAGAGGCAGGACTGCCATGAATTTGAGGCCCGCCTGGGCCACATAGTGAGCTCAAGGCTAGCCTGAACTATATACAGCAAGACTGTCTCAATCAGTCAAATCAAATAATAAAATGTATAAAGCAAAATGTGTACTGTACATGAATATTAACATACAACTGACATGCTGTAATGTGAAGTTTAAAATTTGAAAAAGTTTTAAAGTTATGTATTTCTTCAGTCTGTATAGCTCAATTACATTAAGTGTATAAAAATGAATGGACTTAATGTTGTCAGTTATTATGTTAGATGCTAGGAAAATAACACTGAATAAAATATGGCTCCTGACTGAGACAAAAGTATATAGGAGACAGGCATTAAAATCAACTAAAATACTAGGCTTATATAACAGATATAATCAGGCAATCTGCATTATCTGGAAAGCAAGAAAAGAATTCTGAGAAGATAACTAGCAGGTGAGACTTCAAAAGATTGATATACTCTATGGGCAACATGGATCTACCAACAGCTGTAAGGAGGCAGCAAAATGACTTGCAGTAATGCAGACTGAGTATACCTTAGCCAAATATAAAATTCTTTGAGTGTGGATATGATGCCACAAGTCAAAAATTCCATCCCTGACCTCAAGTGATGGGTTACAGTCAAACTTCACTGCCTAAACAGTTTAAATACAACTGCTAAAAAATTCAACTGAGTCACTCCAAAAAGGGATCCCAAGTGACAACCTGTGGTAACAGTATGTCTCCTAAATATATAAAATGATAAACAGTCTAGAAACCATACTTCCAACTAAACAGTTACAGGTAAACAAATAGGAACTAAAGGCAAATAAAACATTAGAAGGAAAATAGTGAACATTAAAGAAATGCTCCTTAATAAATGTTAAAAGATTTATCATTTCTGTCCAACTAAAGTAGAAAAATTCAACTTGCTGTAAATGGGGAGGGAAGGAAGGGATGAAGGGAGGGCAGGGACAAGGGAAAAAATGAGAACCAAGACCTGTCATATAAAGGTACAAGATCCCAATAATGAATATAACTGCACTGTATACCTAAAATGTACCAATAAACTCAGAGGAAAAAAAAAAGAAAAAGTCAACGTACATCATTGGAAGATTTAAGATTTCACAACGTATGGGCTGGGGATTTAGCTCAGAGGCACCACACCTGCCTTGCAAATCCAAGGTCCTGAGTTCAATCCCCAGTACCCCCCGCAACAAAAAATTTCACAATGTCAAAAATTTAAATGTACTATACATATAAGTCTGTCTTAATTCTAGGTAACATGAACTTACATCAAGATCAACTGAACAAAAACTTCAGCCTTTATATTCTGGAATATACCAATATAAAATTTAAATGTGATAATGATAAAGAATCATTTTTAGGACCAGGGATTTAGCTCAGTGGTTCTGCCACCTGCCTAGAAAGTACAAGGTCCTGAGTTCAATCCTAAAAAAAAAAAAAAAAAAAAAAAAAAAAAAAAAAAAGGAATCATTTTTCTTGGTTCTGGAAGGGCTCTTATGTGCCATTATAATTCATGTTCTGGAAAATTATGACATAAAAAAGGAGAATAAGGAGAATGGGAACAAAAAGCCACCTAATTTGTCTGCGAGCCTTCCTTGCCTGAGAACAGAGCTAGCACCTAAAATCAGATAAAACCAGCCCCTAATTTCCACAGATGAGTCTGTGGGTTTTCTTGGTCAATTTGGTTTTCAGCATCTTTCTTGGACCTCTGTGGCAATCTGATTTAATTCAATTAAAAAAAAAAAAAAAACTTTCTAACTTTCAGAATTCTAAAACCTAAAAGAAAGGACCTTAAATTCTTGGTATCCCTACCTGTTTGAACTTCAGAACTATTAAAATACAGGAGCTTCCTAAGGAATAGTATTTATTTCTTGGAATCTAATTCATTCTATACATGGTAGTATGTCAATTTATGTTGAATATTTGCAGATTCTGCTTTGGTTTAAAAAACAACCTGAAACCATTCTTTGAATTTTCTTACATTTGAATCATTTTTTGTTTGGCTCAATCTAGCAGACAAGACTTAAACTGATAAGAATAACAACAAATTATGTCCAAAGTTAAAACAATTATTGATCTAGAAATCAGAAGGCTGATATATATATATTGCTCCTGCAACAAGCTGTCAACCAAGACTCCTAGCTTTAGGCAGAGGATGTAACTTAGTGGTAGAGCACTTGCCTAGGGTGCATGAGGCCCTGCGTTTGATCTCCAACACTACTAAAGAAAAAAAACAAAACAAAACAAAACAAAAAAACTAACTCTATCGTAAAATGTTCACTTCTGAATCTTGATCCACTTCAAACTAATGGCTCTGGTCAGAAACATTATATAGCAATATGCATCATTTGGTTGGTTATCTCACCTAATACTCTGAATGGAAGAATTTAATGTTTCTTCCTGCATGCTACTGGTTATGGATGCTTCTTCCGGGACAGCTTGAACTGGCTGTACTACATGAACAGTCCGAAAGAGTTGGGTAGGATATGGAGGCTGTGAGGGCTGCACTGTCCTCAAAACTTCTGGTGGCTGGGCAATTTCCACAGGATCTTTGGTTTTTGTAGCTTTGTAATTCCCTGCTTTTAGAACAGTAGTGGCTCCTCCTCCTTTACCACCTGGACTTGAAGATACTCTTGATCGGCTTGCTTGATTCCTACTAGAAGTGGCTGTTGAAGATAGTGATGAATTTGAAGACTCAATGCTGGAACTTGGATCTTCATCATCTATATAGATAAGATCTTTTGGCATTTCTTTAAATTGATACACCAAGCGCTGACCTTCCACTTTTGCCAGAATACCCCTCTGGTAATAGTACCTATTGAAAGCAGACAATTTTATCAATATCTTATTCAATGAAACAAATTAAAATAATACCTAACAAAATCTAATTTTCCTAAGCCTAAGCAAAGATTTTTAAGTTGAAATGAAATGACATAATGAGAAAATAATGAAGGGCAGTTATCTCATATAGCATAAATATACAATTTACAGAAAGACAAATGTCCTTATTATTAGTTAAATCTAAAACCAGTGCTGATTAAGGAACTGCTGAAAAGTGACGGGCCCTTTATTTTTCTCCCTTCCTCTACCTTGCTGCTAACTTGCTGGAAGAATCAAGTCTACTAAAAACCTCAAGAAATTGTTTGCCCTCTTCAGCTTCCTATAACAATCCTACCATTTGTTTCAGTTTTGCGTGTAAAATTTAATGGTGTACGATAGAAGTGGTCAAATTCCTTCACTGATCTCACTCAAATCAAGTACCTAAAAATGTAAATCAAGTGGGCACGATGGCATATGTCTATGATCCCATCTATTCAGGAAGATCAGTTATTAGCCAGCCTGGTTAACTTATTAAGGCCTTGCTTAAAATTAAAAATTAAATTTTAAATAAAATATAAAAGGCTGGGGATACAGCTCAATGGCAGACCACGTGCATAGCGTGCATGAGGCCCTAGGTTCAATTCCCAGCACCATTTTTTTAAAGTATTGTTTTTAAAAAGTACTATTAAAAAACAAAAGGCTAAGTGAAAAATACTAAAAACCACAGCTAAATAGTTCTCTTTCAAAATAGCCAGACTACTTATCCTCTAAAAAGGATGCTTCAGATCATTCTATTTCTAACCTTTCTTAATACACAAAGATCTTGCAGAATAAATGACATGATCACAGAAAAATATGGAGTATAAGAATAAACTGGAAGCTGGGTGTGGTGGTACACGCCTGTAATCCCAGCACTTGGGAGGCTGAGGCAGGAGGATCGCTGTGAGTTACAGAGCAGCCTGGGCTACATAGTGAGTTCCAGGTCAGTCTCACCTACACAGTGACACGCTGTCTCAAAAAACCAAAAAAGAAAAAGAATAAATTGGTACCTTTCTTTAAAACTGTCATAATAACTGATATTAACAATAAAACATTAAATTACTACATTATAATAAATACCAGCACAACTAAGATTCATGTTTTAAAATGAATCTTCCTATTAAGTATAGCATTACTATTATTGGTACTTTGGGCTGAATTTAAATGTAATGCCTCAAAACATATGAGCCTGAGCCTGATAGCTAATTTACAATTCCTAAAGACAGACATTACAAATAACACACAGGTTGAATATTTTTTTATTTGAGATATTATAATAAGGATTTCAGATTTTGTGTATTTTTTTTTTAATATCACACAGACTTTACAGGTCAAGCATCCCTAATCGCAAAATCCAAATTTGAAAGGCTCCAAAATTCAATTTGAGCATTTGTCAGTGTCACTATCAAAATGCGGCAGGGCCATGGATTTGGCTCAGTGGCACCCACACCTGCCTTGCAAACATTTGATCCTGAGTTTGATCCCGGTACCAAAACAAAACAACAACAACAAAAAAAGTTCAGATTTTGGAGTGTTTTGGATTCCTTTTTAATTTAGAATAATCATCCTTACCTGAGGATTTTTTTTACATAAAGATGTTTTTAAGAAAAACATTTTCCCCAATTTGGAGTAAGATTTTAATTTAAGTATGTACTGATTTCTATTAATATTGTGACCTTGGCATTTCAGTAAATAATATTCACGACTTCTTTAATCCCATAATTTTAAAAAATTACATATGATTTCAATATCTAAGAAATTATTTTCCTTCCTTTGGTAGCTATGGACATTAAACCCAGGCCCCTGACCATGCTATTCAAGTGCTGTACCAATGAAATAGATTCTGAGCCTGTAGGAAATGACATTCATAACAACACAAAAACTTCACATACCTGAGTGCTCGTCCCATGGTCTCATAATTCATATCAGGTTTGTTTTTGTGCTTCCCCCACAACCTGGACACTGCTTTAGAATCGACCAATTTAAAAATGCCTTTTTCTCGCTGGGTCCATTTGATGTATTTAGGACAGGTAGCTTTGTCCTGGAGCAGGGCCAGTAAAAACTCCCAAAGATAAATTGTGTTCCCTGAAACAAGAATGAATGAATGAATGAAGGTATGTATGCATTTTGACAGGGTCTCACTCTGTAGTTTAAGTTTGGCCTTGGACTCACTATGTAACCCAGGCTGGCCTTGAACTCACAGCAATCCTCAGGCCTGCTCAACGTCCCAAGTGCTGGGATTATACGAATGTACCATTACACTCAGCACAAGAATTTATTTTTAAAGGACTAAAACTGAACTTGAAAGAGCACAACAAAACACTACTAAAGTCTTGTAAGTTTCATCATATATCTACACAAAAATATTATACACTTCAGTTAGTAATGCTGAGGTAATTCAGTTAGTATTGGTGATAATATGGTCATAATTTTTAGGGTCTAATAAAGACTATTTTATTAGTCCTCTATAAAATATCTGAACAGCAACAGTCTTGTCATTAGGTTTGTGACAATTTAGGGAGAAAGCACTTTCAACTTGATTTTTTTCAAGAACTATCACATAGAAGAAAAAAGCGGGGGGCAGGGATTTAGCTCAGTGGCACTGTGCCTATCTCACAAAGTACAAGGTTCTGAGTTCAATCCATGGTGCAAAGAAAGAAAAGAAGGTAGGAAAGCACGAAGGCAGGAGAGGGGGAGAAGAAGGTGGAGGGGGAGAGGGAGGGAGGGGAGAGGGAAAGGCGGAGTCGGGGGAGGGAGGCAAGGAGGAAGGGAGAAGGTTATATAAAATTATAAACAGTTAGTCTTTTTATATTAGAGCCAGCAGATCAGCCATAACAGCTTTCTTCAAATCTGCACAACAGTTATGAAAATGACAAAATGGCAAGACAAAGTAAGAATATAACTCTAAAAGGGAAATCTAACAGGGTTGGAATTCTTGCAAGGGATTATTAAATTAAAAAATGGATTCTGACAGGTAAATGAAAATAACTAAGGATTTATAGAATTTCTAAAAACTTATCTCAAGAGAAACTGGCAACTCTATCTTCTAAGTACTTGGTAGTGATGGATTCCATTTCAGCATATCAAGAAAACTAGTGCTTTCTATTTATAATGGGAAGACAAGTAAAGCAACGAGAATGCTGCTGGAGCAGTATTATAGAGAAATTATAGCAATACTTACCCTTCCCATCTTTGTTTTTCTTCTTCAAAGATATATTTGGTGTAGTGGCTGGGGAATCTGGTCGTGGGGGCTTACTTTTTCTCCCTGAAATTAGAATAGCTTTGCATAAATATTTGCTTGCACAGTGAGAGAACAGAGAATTTAGCTATTTTGTCATTTATCCAAAACTTTAAATCCCAAATGCTTTGTATATCAGACATTTAACTGATCTCTAAAAATGTTTACTAAAAGAAAAATAACTTCAGTAAAAACTGAAATGTAAAATTTAATGTAGATTAGATCATAAATATACCTATGGAAGAAATAATACTCTAAGCCACAAGCAGTGATGCATATCTATAGTCCCAAATAGGACGATAAGGCAAGATGATTGCAAGTTCAAGCTCAGTCTGGCCAGCTTAGCAAAACCCTGCCTCCAAATTAAAAAAAAAAAAAGTTTTTAAAGCAGTGACAAAATCTCAAAAAGTACAAGTGAAGAGTGAGGGAGAAACTAGCTCTGCAAAGGGAGCTTGAGCCACGTTAAAGATGAAAAAACAACATAAAAGTATACTTTCGTAGATATTGGTTGGGCTATCATGAGAAAAGCACAAAATCCCCAAACAAAATTTTTTAAAAGGACTTTGACGTGTAGCCCAGCGGTAGAGTACTTGTCTAGCTTGTGCAAGGCCTTAGATTCATCCCTGATACTGCTTTAAAAAAATAAAAAAGTAAAAAAATAAAAAGATACTTTATTTGTAAAAATCAAGTTGAATTTCAAATATTGTATCTCCTCTTTAAGGTAATCATATTGATAGTGCTTTCTTAAACTTTTGGAGAGTATTCTTGATATTGATAAAACTTTTGAGATTAAATCATTAGCCATATAGGTTTATTTGCTGGCTATATAAGGTTTTTAAAGCAGAAGTTACATTTTCTTGCATATAGTTAGTTCTAAAATATTAGAAACTTTTCCAAACTACAAATATAGAAAATATGTATCGCAAAATGTTGATGACCCATATAATCAATTTGGGGGAGGGGGATCTTTCTTTTTAGGACATAACTCCTTGCTACGTAGTTCAGGTTGGTCTTGAACTCATTATGTAGCCCAACCCGGCCTAGAACACATGGAGATCATCCTGCCTCGGCCTTTCAAATGCTGGGATTACAGGTTATGAGCCACCGTGCCTGGTGTATCTTGTGTATTTTTTAAATCTCATTTTTCTCTATTTAAATTTACAGCAAACCAGCTTCATGGTTATGAATTATCACCCTCTAAATAAATCTATCCCAATGGCTTTAATCTAGGTTGATCAAATATTGCACAGCTTTTTTGCGATCTTCTTTTGCTACTTATCTAGAACCATACTTTGGTAGCACTGTTTTCTGTAGTTGAGACGATCATGCTGTTGGAGCAGCCTACCATTCTGTATACAGTTACTACCTCCTTCCTCCACAGTCCTTGAGGTTGATGATTTCTGGTGAGATTATGGGTGAAGTTTTAGTTATTATAAAGCAATCATACAGGGCTGGGGATTTAGCTCAGTGGTTCCACCGCCTGCCTTGCAAGCACAAGGACCCAAGTTTGATTCCCAGTACCTAAATAAATAAGTAAATCAAGAAAAAGCAATCATACAAAAGGAAAATTGTAGAGCTAAAAATGACAAGGTTCATAACAACCTATTCCCAGAAACTGAGTAGGAAAATGGTTTCGAGTTATTTGGGTGGATGAGAGTAGGGGAAAAGATGGTCAAAACCCTACTAGAAATCTTCAAAGACTGACAAATGTACACCTGGGTGTGGTAGGTAGCACATGCTTTAACTCCAGCATTCCAGAGGCTGAGGCAAGAGGAACACTGCAAATTCAAGGTCAACCTGGGCTATGTAGTGAATTGAAAGCCATACTTAAATACATACCAAGACCTTATCAATCAATCAACAGACTGCTAAATGTATGGTAATCAGCTAGGTAAAACTTTCTCCTCACCACAGACATCTCCAAAGAACTCATTTATGAAGCAGATTCTCCTGGCTGAGTGTCTTCATGATAACAATTATTAGAGGTCAGCACAGGAGTAACCTCCTATCATCTCATTTTCAGTAAGCTATGTACTTGCTTTTTCTTTTTCCCATTGCCTTCCTCCAACTAGTTATGATAACAATTATTAGAGGTCAGCACAGGAGTAACCTCCTATCATCTCATTTTCAGTAAGCTACGTACTTGCTTTTTCTTTTTTCCCATTGCCTTCGTCCAACTACCTTTACTCATGTCAAGACACTGCTGGTAACCTATCCAAAATCCATCCTTTCCATTACTTTCTTTACTATTCAAGGTAGCAATGTACACAGCTTTGCATGAATTATAGTTTCTTGGGTGGAACATTTTTTGACTGACTGTTATTTTTTTTTTCCCTAGTACCAGGGACCACTGAGCTACATGCCTGGCTCTGACTGAATGTTATTTCTTTGTATCACTCTGAATATATCTAATCCCTCCCACCTCTAATGGGTACTTCTAAACTGCCAATCTAAAAATCAATGTTTTTAGGGCCAGGGATGTATAGTTCAGTGGTGCCTCACCTGCCTGGCAATTGCAAGGGCCTGAGTTTGATCCCTGGTACCACCAAAACAAACAAAAAACAAAAAGCAAAAAAAGAAAGAAAAAACATATGATTAATGTTCTTTAAGTGATGGCATTTCTCTCTGGTTTCTTTCTTTCTTCTTTTCAGGGGTACTTCGGAAGAGATTTTTGGGTATCTTTGGATATTCTGCATTTTTACTATCAATTCCTGGATTTATATACCAAGATGTATTGTAGTTAACACTATTCAGGATCCACAATGCTCAAGATTAATGTTGTTCTGGAAAATCCACAGTCACTGTCTTTGAATATTACTTCTGCCTTACTTTTCTGGGGCAAGACTATTAGGATCAAACCCAGGCCCTTGAGCATGCTAAGCAAGCACTTCACCACTGAGCTACATCCCTAACCCTGGCTCCTTTCTTTAACCTATGTTGAGATACATCCTTTTTCTGTTGGTTCTTTTTTTTTGGTACTAGGGATCAAACTCGGGTCCTTGCACTTGTGAGGCAGGCAGAGGCACCACTGAGCTAAATCCCCGGCCCTTTGTTGTATTTGTTAACACTGTGTGCCATTTTACTGCAGACCAATTTCTTCGATCAGCAGTTGCTGTACATTTGGGTGGTTTCCAGTTTGGGGCAACTGCAAATAGGGCTGGCAAGAATATTCGTGTGTAAGTTTGTCTATAAACCCAGTCTCATTTCTTTTGTTTAAATACTTAAAAGCAGAATGGCTACGTGACATGACTTTCTATATTAAGATTTTTAAGAGAATGATAGAACTATTTTCCACAACAATTTTTCTCCATGAAGATACGGCAATCACATGGCTCACCTCATTTGTTTTCTCTTACAGGAAGAACACTGGCTTCTGTTGACTTATATCCAATTTCTTTAGTACCACAGTTTCATGTATTTTGTCTGTTATTCCATTTTGGCTAGCAGAGGAAGTTCCACCTTGTCCTTTTTAATAGTCTTATTCTTAGATAATGTTACTTATCAACGGGTTAACTCCTTGACCGTATTTTTATTCTTTTTATTTAAAAACCATAATCACCTTCAAACTTTCTACTTGATCATTTTATTATCTCTGTCTCTTAGAGAACATTAAAATTTTCTATACCTGCTGCTTTTTACTCAGGAAGTGTGTTCCTCATGTATTCTGTGATATGTTGGTTCTCCTTAAACAAGGCTTTATCTGAGGAAATCCTGTGTAGCCTAGGTTGAATGTGTAAACCACCAGAGCAATTACATAAGAGTTTCTGCTTGATGCCTTAAAGTAACTACAAGCCTGGGTCCACTTATAACGTGAATTGCTGGGCTGAGAATTCCTATAGTCAGCAATAGTTTAGTCTCATTGTAAACTTAGTTATCAAGGAGGCCAAGGATTATGAATTCGCAAAGGAAAAATCCCTCCACTCAAGAGCCTTGGCTGACAAATACAAGCTTCCTTGACATCTGTATCAGCAAGTGGAATTTTGCCCTGAAGCTGTCCCACTAATTTGCCCACATCTGTCTCTAGTCGTCCACCTTGCATAGGTCCAATACCTAAGCTTCTGCATCATAGGGGCAATAAAGCCATTGCCTTCTCAGGCCTTCAGAGCTGTGAGAGTAGCTATTGCAACTACTTTCATTCTCATTTTTGGCTCCTAGAATTTCCCTTCCTTTCATGTAAACTTAGATTGTTGGTCGTGAAGAAAGAAAATAAAGACAAGAAAAGATTACTAGTAGCTGGTGATGCCCAATACCTAAGCTTCTGCATCATAGGGGCAATAAAGCCATTGCCTTCTCAGGCCTTCAGAGCTGTGAGAGTAGCTATTGCAACTACTTTCATTCTCATTTTTGGCTCCTAGAATTTCCCTTCCTTTCATGTAAACTTAGATTGTTGGTCGTGAAGAAAGAAAATAAAGACAAGAAAAGATTACTAGTAGCTGGTGATGCCATTAACTAAGATATTAAAGTCAAGATATTATACAAGGAGGAACAGAACCAGAACACAAACGGAAACTGCAAGAATGTCAGAATTGAGAATGCAAATGTGGTCCCAATTTGTGACAGTGAACACTCTCCTTTAACACATTCCTACATTTTTCTCAATTACTTAATTTCTGATTTCCAACTTATTGAAGTTTTCCAAATGGAATCTTACACTGCAATCATTGATACAGACTGGTGACTTTCAATCTATGTTGAAGCTGACCTGCCCTTGTCCCTAAGCTCTTTTTGAGGCTTTGATGAAAGAGCTTAGATAAAAATATGAGGCTTCACAAAGTTGGAAACTGGGGCCAGGGATTTAGCTCAGTGGTTCCAGCACTTGCCTTGCAAGCACAAGAACCCGAGTTCAATCCTCACTTATCAATCAATAAACAAACATTTGGAAACTATCTTTTCTATATTTTCAGTATTCTAAATCCATAAAACATTTTTTAAAAAATGACTCTAATTTGAAGAAATACTTATTGTGCCCAAAAAGGTTTTTTTTTAACCCTGTTTTAATTAGAATAAAATTATACTACTGAATAAAAATTATGTTTAGATTTTACATCAAAGATGTGACTATGTGCTCAAAAGAAATTACGCACCTTTCTTTCTTTTAGGCTGTTCTGGTGATGAGGCTCCTGGTGAGTCTGCATATGTTTCTTGCACCGGCTGAGTTTCCAGCACTTCAGGAATCCCATCCAATGTGACGGATACATGGGTGATTGGGGCAACTACAATGTCATCTTCAGATGAACTAAATATATTACTACCTAATAGAAATAAAATCAATTAAATATAATCAACTGTGTATTGTAAACTAAAGCTTAATAAAATCATTTCCTATTCCTATGAAGATTAAAGTAGAAATAAAATCTTAAAATCTATTTTCTGATTTTTATTTCCCTTTCTCTAAATCCTGCTCGGTTTTACTCAACTATTTCAAAGTTGCTCCTGCTTGACTTCTTATCACCAGTCTCTCCTGTCTTTTCTCTCCGTGTTAACAGTTATCTCCTAAAACCTAAGAGTTTAATCTGACATTATTCCTCTATACAAAAGCTTTACATGCTGAAAATCAAAAGTAAAAATCATAGGAAAAATATCTTAAAATTTGCTGAAGGAAAAGGATAAGAACAACCCAAACTCCACAGTGTACCTTTCAAAATTTCCACAATCTAATTCAAATCTACCTTTCCAATCTCATCTCCTACCTACTATGAAGCTTGCAGTTTAGTTATATCAAAACATGTACCTTTCATAATTTTGTTTGTTTTTAAAGGTCTATGCCTGAGGCTCTATCCATTAACTTCTACCTTTCACTGTTCTCTCCTGTCTGCCTTCCTATTAAAAGTTTACCATTTGTACCCCACGTTAAAATATTACATCAAGCAGGTATGGTGGCACACTCTGGTAATCCCAGCTACTCAGGAGGTTGAGTCAGGATGTCATGTTTGCGGGGACTCTCGGCACCTTAGTGAGATCCTGGTGAAATGAAATGAAATGAAGGTCTAGGGATATAGCTCAGTGGTAGAGTTTCTGCTTGCCTGATTCAAACTAAAATAAAAGCTCAGTGGTAGAGTATGTGCCTGTATACCATGTGTGTAACCTTGGGTTCAATCCCCAGTCCTATAAAACATCTCCCTACCCTAAACATCCCCTCAATGAATCAATGAATCCTGTCTCTGATGTTCTCTGCTTTAGTATACACTGCTTCCAAAAAGCTTTGTTATCACTCTGCAGGCCTTTAATTTTAGTTTTTACAATTACTTACAAAGAATTAAATTGTAATTAGAAACCTAGCAAGAATTTGTCTGAAAAATAAAAATTTTTCAAAAGTGCTGGGAATGCACTCAGCAAAGTTCCTGGGTTTAATCTTCAGCATTGTAGGTAAATAAAATGTAAGACCGGGGAAAGAAATCTATTCATTTGTGTATATTATTGTCTAATGCACTGCTGCAGTGACTACAGCAAACTCTCATGAATATCTTCAATTGATTTAGTAATTGTATGAGCTTAAGTAATTCTTTGTCAGAAAAAGTACAAAGAAAAGCATAATTTCATAATGAATCAATAATGTGGCAATGAGTTTTATGCCATAAAAAGTTCGCAAAGTTTTCAATTATTTTGCCAATCCACTTGTGATTATCTATAGAGATTAGTAAATTATAATGATCTGGGCTCATCAAAGAGATTAAGAGAAGAAATTATGCTTGAAAAGGGCTAAAGGTGTAGGGAAAGTGGAAAGGGTACGGGAAAGGTAATAAGGGAAAAAACAAAAATAGGAGAAAATAAAAAAATGGAAATAAAATGTTTGTAAATGCGGAGGGGAGGAGTGGGTGAAGGGAGGGCAGGGACAAGGGGAAAAAATGAGAACCAAGACCTGTCATGTAAAGGTACAAGATCCCAATGATGAATGTAACTGTACTGTGTACCTCGAATGTACCAATAAACTCAATGAGGTGAAAAAAAAGAAATTATGCAAAATAGTTTCACCAAAGAGATGAAGACAGAAAATTGCGCATAATCTACTATTTTATAACTAATAAATTACTTTTGTTTTTAGAGGTTTCATTCCCTCAAATTAAAGTCTTTTTTTTTTTTTTTTGATACCAGGGATCAAAGTCTGGACCTTGAGCTTTCGCGGCAGGTGGCAGAACCACTGAGCTAAATCCCCGGCCTAGCCTTAACTGAATACTTTAGCAAAGATGTAGATAGCAAAGGTGTCTTAATAAGTACTGTACCTTAAGATGTGCTCAGAACGTTTATTAAACATGATCTCTGATATCTAGATATTTAGCATTTAACAGAGAATGATAAGAATGACTTTACACAGTGCAGAAAAATAAACAATCAAATCACTCACTTATTCGTTTTTCATCCAGCACAGGACCAGGAGAATCCATATTAAGGAGTGCCTCAGCAGCTTCAATAGTTTCAATTGTTTCATCCCCATTATGACAAGAAGCTTCAACTATAACACATTTAAAGAAAACACAATTAGTCACAAGACGTTCATTGCTCTGAAATTCATATACCAATCTTCTCAACCAACGTACATCACTTAGTGTAGATTTATATACACAGAAACTATCAACACATACAACTTCTATCAACATGTAATACTATATCTGATTAATTAACTGCCTGTTTTTTAATTTTTACAGAAACTCTGCAAGATGTTGGAGGTAAAAAGAGCATATATTCAGGAGGAAATTCACTAATCATTTCTCTGCCAATTCTTATATATTTTCCATAATTAAGGATGATTAAGGATAATTAAGTATTCTACAATGACAGGAATCTTAACCAAATCACTGAAGCAGTATGTCACTAAGAAAGTCATTTTGTTTCTCAGGACCTCATACTATATAAAATGACTACACTGATAGCCTTAGATACTTTTCAGCTCTAAGATCAATGCGACTACTCTGACTGGAACACAAGTTAATCAACCGTTGAAGCTTATTTCATTAGTGAGTCACTATTTCCAAAAAGATTTAGACACAGTCACATTGTTCAAAGTCTAATCATCCTTTGTGGCATCATTTTTCTGTGGTGTATTTTGTGGAACATTCATTACTCTACCATGGACTTTGCCCAATCCATGGTATAAATTATACAATACTCTTAGATGGCTGAATGTGTAATATAAAATCATGACTCAAATTCAGGGTAGGACTGACAGTATGTAACTAAATACAGGCCTTGTAATTTTACACAAACCTAAAAAGTAAACATAAACACAACATCTGTAATGGAGGAAGAGTTTCCACACAAGTTAGAATAAGGTCTATAAATTTTTAGAACTTGTTAACACCACAACTTTTTTTTCCCCACATAAAAGATTTACATGCAACTCCCAAAATAAAACAGATAAAAACGGGTATTTTTTTCTACTCTTTTTCCTTTCGTGTGTGTGTGTGTGTGTGTGTGTGTCTGTGTGTGTCTGAGTGTAGGGGGGCAATGGACACTGAACTCAAGACCTCTGCACTAAGCTGCACCCCTAGCCCTGATTTTTTTATTTTGAGCCACAGTCTGGCTACATTGCCCAACTTGGGCTTGAATTTGTAATTCTCCTGCCTCAGAGCGCTGCTATTCCAGGCATGTGCCACCTTGCTTCACTGTATGTTTTGTTTTGCTATCAGGGATCAAAGTCAGGACCTTGTACTTGAGAGGTAGGTGGCAAAACCACTGAACTAAATACCCAGCCCTTCACTGTACAGTTTTATAGATTCAATTTGATATAATCAAACTTTATATAAGATAAATCAACAATTAAAATGAGTTTTCTGAGGAATATAAAAATAGGGATTATGACAGCTGCTTTAACACAAGCTTCAAATTCAATATAGCCATTAAATCTTTTTTACTATTGGAAATACCTTTTTTTTTTTTTTTTTTTTTTTTTT